TTGTTATTATTATTATTATTACTACTATTTTTTGAGACAGAGACTTGCTTTGTTGCCCAGGCTGGAGTGCAATGGCGTGATCTCTTCTCACTGCAACCTCCACCTCCTGGGTTCAAGCGATTCTTTCATCTCAGCCTCCGGAGTAGCTGGGATTACAGGTGCCAGCCACCACACTCAGCTAATTTTTTTGGTGTGTATTTTTAGTAGAGACAGGGTTTCACCATGTTGGCCAGGCCGGTCTCGAACTCCTGACCTCAGGTGGTCCGCCCACCTCGAACCCCCAAAGTGCTGGGATTACAGGTGTGAGCCATAGCACCTGCCCTCAGTCTTTTCTTCCAACCCCATTTTTACCCCTAGCATTACAAAGCTTCTTTAGAAACAGCAGTGGTAGAACCCAAGAGAAGACATGCCACACCTCTAAGTTGTCTGAACTGGAATCAGGTGAGAGAGTCTCCTTAGCCCCTCAGCTCATCCATCCTGATCTGAGAATAAACAGCGGTAGAGGACACAGCTTTAAAAAAGAGAATTAGAAGGTCGGGCAACATGGCAAAACCTCATCTCTACCAAAAATATAAAAATTAGCCAGGCATGGTGGAGTGCTCCTGTGGTCTCAGCTACTCAACAGGCTGAAATTGGGGGACCACCTGAGTCCAGGAGATTGAAGCTGCAATGAGCCTTGATGGTGACACTGAACTGCAGCCTGGGTGACAGAGTGAGACTCTGCCTCAAAAAAGGGAGGTGGGTGGGTGGAGAGAGAGATAATTAGAGGGAAATGAAGACATTCTACTTGATCTAATCCAGCTTGGAGGTGGCAATAAGCAAAAAGGTGGTGATGCACACCAACTCTTTGTGGGATACCAGTGGACCAAGAGTGGAAATATGAGGGATAAGTTTCGTTCAATGCAGATGAAACTAGTTCTAAAGCCAGACTTTATTGGGTGGAGCTCTGACAATGCCATTGACAGTCCTGCTGCCATTTCTTGAGATACACATCCTGAGATGTCCTCAGGGACACTGAATACAGAGTCCAGAAGACTGTCAGACTGAGACCAACATCTTAATAGCCTTAATTGCTTTAGCAGTAAGAATGCAAACTTTAAGACATACCACTTTCACTTTCCTAGGAGCCAAATTGAAATCAGGAAAAATAACCTTCTTATTCTCTGTGCCAAGATCACTGCTCTTACAGTAATGGAGATTAACGTGGCCAGGGACACATTGTGAAGGAACAAATTTTATCAAATTGATTGAAGTGAATCTCCTCCGTATTTCCAAAGCTCCCTGTGCATGACTCTGCCACCACCTTCATCATGCTCTCCTCTCATTTCCTATTGACTTGCCTTTTTCTCTCCTTGGCCATGAACTCTTTGAGGGCAGGCACCATGTTCAACTCATCTTAACCCTACACAATGACTGGCCCAAGGCAGGCACTCTATACATACTTATTAAGTGAAAGGTTTGATGGCTAAAAATGAAAGGAAGTGAGAAAAATTGTTCCTGAAATCCAAATTGTGAGTAGGTAGATATCTTTGCTACACAAATACCTCTATCTCCCTCTTCAAGAGCAGATTTGCTTTCATTTGAAAGCCTGTTCAAGGTCACTATTATGTCTAACCATGTAGCTGTTAGTCTTCTGCAGTTTAGTTTGAAGGACTGTGTTTGTCAGGCCTAATTTATAAGGGCTGGCTCCATTCATCGGACTGAGTGGTCCAAGGAAGAAGAAAGCCAGTGGAGAGCTAGCCAGGTGAGAAGATCACAGCATAATGTAACAGAAAACCACGGAATTTGATACAGACAGGTGAGTGTTAACTGAGTTTGTTCAAGGTTTGTATGCCTTTCTCCCCCTCTAGGCTGTCAGCTTCTTTAGGCAAGGACTGAGTCATCTCTGCATTCTCAGCACCTGGTGCAATTTAAGCAGAAATATCTTGAAGATTTTTTCATGTCTTCAGGGAGATTAGGAATGAGAATGAAATGGAATGGGAATGCTGATGCAGGAAGGATGAGAATGTGGGGTTCTTTCCCAGATGGCCCCTGGCGATGAGATAAATGAGGAGGAAGAAGGGAGGGGAAAACTTTTATTTAGCACTAACTGTATGCCAGACACTGTATATAATATTTTACACATATTACAGAAAGCAATTGTTTCCAAAATTTCTGAGACTTAGCTTGTGCCAAATTAACAATATTTCTGAAGTTCGGATACCTTAACTCTAAAGAGCAAAATAATAAGATTGGGTGTGGTGGCTTATGCCTGTAATTCCAGCACTTTGGGAGGCTGAGGTGGGAGGGTGGCTTGAGCACAGAAGTTTGAGACTAGCTTGGGCAACTTAGTGAGATTCTGTCTCTAGAAAAGGTTTTAAAAATCAGCTGGTATGGTGAGGCATGCCTGTAGACCCAGCTCCTGAGGGGGTTGAGGTGGGAGGATCACTTGAGCCTGTGGGGGTCGAGGCTGCAGTGATTTGTGATCACACCACTGCACTCCAACCTGGGCGATAGAGTGTGATGCTGTCTCAAAATAATAATAATAATAATAAAAATTTCCAGATTTACTGGCCAAAAGGTACAGTAATAAATACATTTTGAAAAGTTGTGTTTTAAAAGACTCTTTTATTTTATATAAATACATCTTGAAAATTAGTTGAAGAAGGTAGTATGTATCCATCATTGTTTTGCATAGATTAAAAACATCTGGGTGTGTCTGAAAATGGAAAAACATAGCATATTATGTAAAACATGCTTGTTTTAGACATGTAAGTATACATTCAAAAATAATACATTCTATTTAGTCTTTCTCATAATGAAAATTGGAATTTGCCATGCTTACTCATCCCCTTAAAACTGGTAAGATACATACTATACAATTTTTATTCTTTGAAAATGCTTGTTGATCTGTGGCAAATTCTCTTATCCTTGGGAGTTGATGTAATCACATCTGCAAAACCAAAGCAGAGTATGGTGCAATCGCTCTTTGGAGAACATTTCTCAGTGCCATCTGTTTGCTCTGTCAGAGCCTTTCCTTTCCAAACTTCCTCCTTAGCCTGTGAATCTGGAGTGTTTCTATGAAGTCTATGAGGTGTTCCTCTGTCCTGGCACCCAGGCTAAGGTGTCACCCTGTGACCCAGTCTGGTGGTCATTTTGGCCCATCCATCTGGGTTCTTTACCCTCTGTTGTTGAGCTGTGGTGATACTGCAGCCAAGTGAAGCCCAGTAGATGACACATTCACACCATTCCCCATGGAAGCCTCCTCTGTTCAATACCCCAGTAAGCATTCCCTAAGCCAAAGTTTGACCCAGAACAAAGCCCTAACTCTCAACTCTCTTCAATTCTGTCAAGGATGAGAGAGACAAGGAAGCTACAGAAGAGAAGTTCAAAGCTAGCAGAGGTTGGTTCATAAGGTTTAAGGAAAGGCGCCATCTCCAAAACATGAAAGTAAAAGGTGAAGCAGCAAGTGCTCATGTAGAAGCTGCAGCAAGTTATATAGAAGATCTACCTAAGATAATTGATCAACGTGGCTACACAAAACAATAGATTTTCAATGGAGATGAAACAGTCTTCCATTGGAAGAAGACTTTCATAGCTAGAGAAGATAAGTCAATGCCTGGCTTCAAAACTTCAAAGGACAGATTGACTGTCTTGGTAGGGGCTAAAGCAGCTGGTGACCTTAAGTTGAATCCAATGCTTTTACCATTTCAAACATCCTAAGACTCTAAAGGTTTATGCTAAACCTACTCTGCCTGTGCTTCATAAATGGGAAAACAAAGCCTGAATGACAGCACATCTGTTTATGGCATAGTTTACTGAATATTTTAAGCCTATTGTTGAGATCTGCTAAGAGAAAAAAAATTTCTTTCAAAATATTACTTTTCATTGACAATGCACCTAATTATTCATGAGACCTGATGCAAACGTACAAAGAGATTAGTGTTGTTTTCATGCCTGCTAACACAACATTCATTCTGCAGCCCATGGATAAAGAAGTAATTTTGACTTTAAAGTCTTATTATTTAAAAAATAGTTTTCATAAAGCTATAGCTGCCATAGATAGTGATTCATCTGATGAATCTGGGCAAAGTAAATTGAAAATCTGCTGGAAAGGGGTCACCATTCTATATATCACATTAGAATGCCACCATTCTAGATGTGATTCATGGGACAAGGTCAAAATATCCACATTAACAGGAGTTTGGAAGAAGTTAATTCTAACCCACCTGGATAACTTTGAGGGGCTCAAGTCTTCTGTGGAGGAAGTCACTGAAGATGTGGTATAAACAGCAAGAGAACTAGAGTAAAAAGTGGATCCTGAAAATGTGACTAAATTACTGCAATCTCATGATAAAACTTGAACACATGAGGAGTGCTTCTTTGGATGAGCAAAGAAAGTGATTTCTGTTGATGGAATCTACTCCTGGTGAAGATGCTGTGAACATTGTTGAAATAACAACAAAGGAGTTAGAATATCACATGAACTTAGGTGATAAAGCAGCAGCAGAGATTGAGAAGATTAACTCAAATTTTGAATAAAGTTCTACTGTGAGTAAAATGTTGTCAAGCAACATCACATGCTACAAAGACATCTTTCCTGTGTAATCCATAAAACAAACTTCATTGTCTTATTTTAAGAAATTGTCACAGACACATTAACCTTCAGATACCACCACGCTGATCAGTCAGCAGCCATCAATCAACATTGAGGCAAAACCCTTTACCAGCAAAGAAAAACAGAACTCACTAAAGGCTCAGTATCATTACTGTTTTTTAGCAATAAAGTATTTTAAGTTAAGGTATGCCCATTGTTTTTATAGCCATAATGCTACCACACATTTAATAGACTACAGGATAGTATAAACATCATTTTTACATGCCCTGAGAAGCTTAAAATTCATGTGACTGACTTTATTGCAATACCTACTTTGTTGGGATGATCTGGAACCAAACCCACAATATTTTTGAAGTATGCCTACATATTCCTTTTCCCCTATCTAGTTTTGAACCAATTGATTCAAAATTAAACCAATCAGGCAGATGCTGTCCAATGTATCAGCTTTTTTGCTGGTATAGATTAGGTTGGTGAATGTGATTAAAGTGCAGGAGGGATTAACTTCCAATGATGCACCCAGAATTAGACAGACGTACACACGTGTCACAAGCCCAGCTGGACAGCCACCAGTCTCCTCATATGGAGCCTCTTACTGCAAAGCTCACAGCACAGAATTAGAACAGAATGTTTGCTTTCTGTGAGCAGTTGATTCCTTAGAGGAAGGAGAGAGAAAAGACTGAGCTACTTTTGCCTAGTTCCTTTCCTAAAGTCACCAATAAGACCAGCCACTCTTGTTGGAGAGGAACTACTGAAGGAGCAGATAGGCAGTGGAGAATCACTCTCATTGGCCACCCACCTCATGGAAGGAAGTACTAGAGTAGGGAATACCTGTTGTCCTGCTATGGAAATCTGAAAACAGCCACATGGAAAAGTGATGAGAAATGTAAATTGGATTTTGTGGGACTCGAGCTGGATGCACTTTTGCATTAGATTGTCTTGTATCTTGAGGAAAATATGGTATGTGTTTTTATGTGTATACACACACATTCCTTCTGACCATGAAATTGTAGATGGGTGTCTACAAAAGCAATTTTAGTTTATCAGGTAAATTTGTGGGACCTCAAAGTTCCCCCCAAGCCTGCAGACACCCTGTGTAATTCTGGCTTTTCTCATGGAAGCTGCCTGAGAAAGAGCTTTGCTTTTCTCTTGCTCTGGGGCCTTTGCCTGGCACTTATGATTTTGGCCCTCTCCATTGGTTGTGAGCTGATGCAGCTTTTTCACAGGCTGGTCACAGGCTACATGGGGTTGGGGGTGTGGTGGGTGTGTTCTATGGTGTGACTTTATGAGGTGTTTCTTTAGTGCATATTGTCCCGGATCTCATTTAGGAGAAGTGGAAATATTTTGCCTTTTTCAATATGCTCTCATCCTCTCTGCTACAGTAGTCTAAGCCTGAGAAGCTATGAACTGTGTGGATGGGCTGGTTTCCAGACTTAGCTGTGAGGTCTGTTTCCATTACAGTGAAGCTGCTCAACAACTGGGTGTCCCTTTGAAACAATAAAAGGGATATCACGTTTTTCATTGATCCTTAGTTTAGTGTGAAAAAAACATACTCTAGTTATTCTTGATATGTACTATATTTTGAATGTTTGTCCTCTCCAAATCTCATGTTGAAATTTGATCCCCAGTGTTCCAGTGTCGGAGGTGGGCCTAATGGGAGGAGTTTGGGTCATGGGGGCAGATCACTTATGAATAGATTTAACACCCTCCCTGAGGGTGGGTATGGAGGTTAGGGTGAGGATCGGGTTCTCTATTAGTTCCCAAGAGAGCTGGTTGTTAAAAAGAGCCTGGGACCTCTCCCCCATCTCTTGCTTCCTCTCTTGGCATGTGACGTCTGTACAAGCTGGCTCCCCTTTACCTTCTACCATGAGTGGAAGTGGCCTGAGGCTCTCACCAGATGCCTAATCTTGAACTTTTCCAGACAGAGTTGTGAGCCAAATCATCTCAATGATGAGCCCTTTTTTCTTTATAAATTACCCAGTATCAGGCAATCCTTTATAGAGTGCAAAATGGACTAAGACAATATAGTTTTATACATCAATGTCTCCTGGTGCATTATTATTTGTAATGCTAGATGGCAAAAAATCAATTATTATTTGCTGATTTGGACATGAAAAAAGAATCTGAATTGCGTAGAATTTCTCTGGTGCAAGTTGGGTCAAGATCTCAGCCTCTTTTTTTGGGCTGAGAAAATGTTCCAGTATCATTGGTATACAAAGGGCAAAGGAAGCAGGGGCTGAGGCTTACAGTGTGCCAGATGCCATTGTAACTGCTTCACTGGACTCAAGAATCTCTTTTCATTACAAAATGATCTATAATCTCTTCTGGGTCTAATGGGACTATAGTTTCTAAAGCTTTGGGATTCAATTAAAACCAAAATGGGAACATACTTTAGATTTCATGGTTAGAGCCTTTTTGACTGATCATATTAGATTGCTACTACCTCCCAAAGATTTTCTCATTTTAATTTATTGAATATAAGTGGATTTCATACTGAAATTCAGTATTTGCCTGTTCATCTATTCAACAACTGCTTATTGAGTGCCCCTTATGTGCCAGGCTCTGTACTGGGCACTGAGGATTAACATATATTCAAAGAGTTGAATGAAAAGAAAGATATTCTGGCAAATCATTGCAGTTTAAATAAGCATCAGGCTCAAGCCTGTAATCCCAGCACTTTGGGAGGCCGAGGCGGGTGGATCACGAGGTCAAGAGATCGAGACCATCCTGGTCAACATGGTGAAACCTTTTAAACTCTTAAATGGCAAGGAAGAATAAAGAAAGCTCTCCCTGTGGGAAACAGCTCTTCTCAAAGAC